TAAGCTCTCAATAAGTAGTAGCAGTTATTATTAGAATTAACAGAAGGAGAATATTCATAGTCTGTTGAGGATTAGGGCACGCTTTTGAGGATTGATTCTTCCCAGGGGCTCAGGTTTGCCTCAGAAAAGAACAGAAAACAAAGGCATCACGTCCCAGCTTCCAAAGGTATTATACTATGCTAGCATGAATGGGCCTTCCCATGTTGGGGACTTTTTGTGTGTGTGTGTGGGGGGGATTTTAGTTTCCCGACCAGGGATCGAACCCAGGCCCCCCAGGCAGTGGAAGCGCTGAGTCCTAACCACTGGACAGGCAGAGAATGCCCAGGACCTTTTGGTTTTGAAATGTAGGGAGAGTAACAAGGAACTTTAGCAATTGGGTTATATTTCTGTAGAGAAACCTTCATGATGTTGTAAGGGCCCTTGAGAAAACAGTTGATCCATCTTCCTGATTCCAGAGAGGCCTGCATTCCAAGCATTCATAGATTACTGCTATCCAACATTTGCTTTAAAAGTTTCAGAAGGTGGGGATTCTATAAGATCTTTGGATAATGTATGATACTGCCACATTGTCTTAGAATCAGTAAGCTCTTCATAAGGTCTGATTCAAATCTTCATGCTGCAGCACAGGCCTCTATTTTTTCTCTTGCCTCTGCCTGTCAGCAGAATCTGTGTGCTCTCATTTAGACATTTGTCTCTACCCTCACCCATCAATATATTTTGATTTACTGAAATATAAAACTGAGCACTGTAAGCTCAGCTGGATCACTGTAAGTACTACTATAAACAACTGGGGCTTTCCTCTTGGAAGGTGTTATGAAGCTCCCTATTCAGCTTTCTTCCTTCCAGCTCAAGACAGCCCATGTTCTTAAGCAGAGTCATGGGAAACCTAAGTCCCCAATCTGCCACCATTGTCTAAACAGACAGTGGAAACTCTGTCCGTAGAGGCTGAGCACCTGGGAAGCTGTGCCACGCGCTGGCTTCCTCCCGGTAGACACTTTGACCCAGAGCATTTCCTTTGGTGTCTTCCAGCTTTTGTCCACCTGTGCCGCACCTGGGTGCTGATTTGCTTCAATGCCAGATCCTCCCCCTTCCCAGCCAAACATCTCAAAAGAGTGATCTATTTTCACTTTCTTCACTTCCTCACCTCCCACTCTACCACTGCAGTCCAACTCCAATTAAATTGCACTGTACCAAAGGCACTCTTTTATCAGAGTCACGAATGCTGTCCAACCAAATTGCTTCTTAAAACAACAACAGGGCTTCCCTGGTGGCGCAGTGGTTAAGAATCCGCCTGCCAGGGCTTCCCTGGTGGCGCAGTGGTTGAAAGTCCGCCTGCCGACGCAGGGGACGCGGGTTCGTGCCCTGGTCCGGGAAGATCCCACGTGCCGCGGAGCGGCTGGGCCCGTGAGCCATGGCCGCTGAGCCTGCGCGTCCGGAGCCTGTGCTCCGCAACGGGAGAGGCCACAACAGTGAGAGGCCCGCGTACCGCAAAAACAACAACAACAACAACAAAAACACACCTTATTTTACGTGACCTCTAAGCAGCATTTGATATTAACCGTTCCCTTTTGAAAAGCTTGCTTCCCTTGCGTTTTTGGACCACATGCATTCCTGGTTTTCTTCCTACTTGTCGGGTCTCTTCATCTCACTCTCCTTTTTGTGGGTTCCTATTCCTCATTCTTCTCTTGAATATTGTTATCGTTGGAGTTTGGTCTGAAGCCTTCTCTTTTTTTCTGCTTATGTACCCTCCCTGGAAGATCTCACCCACTTCCCTATTTGCCATTACCATGGGATAAAACTGATAATCCCAAATCTCATCTCCATTTTAGGCCTTGATATCCAATTGCCTGCCAGATGTATTTACCTGAACATGCAACGGTACCTCAAACTCAGTTTGCCCCCAGATAAACCCCTCACCCAACCCTCACCCAAACCTGCTTCTCCTCTTCTTGTATTTCTTATCTCAGCGAATGGTACCACTCTACACATACATCCTTAATTCCAAAATTGTCAGTCAGCAAGTTCTTTGATTGTAGCTCCAATATTTCACTAATCTGTCTCGCTTTCTTAATCCACACTGCTGATACTTTAGGCTTGGCCATTATCATTGCGTGCCTATGTAACCCGCATGAAGCTGGGCAGCTTCACGGTCAGGGTCATCACGGAGTTGTATCTCAAAGAAATATCACCTGAACAGCCAAAAAAAAAAAAACTGGAAAGCAATTTAATTTGCACTGAAGTTTCTTGAAAGGGGACTAATCATTTATTTATTGATGTTTTGTCCCTGTCACACCTACATTGCTTTGACTGCCTCTTAAGTGGTCTCCCTGCCTCTAATACTGTTTCCCTCCACTTGATTCTCTATACTACAGCTAGAATGCTCCTTTACAAATGGATTTCCATGTTTAAGACTATTTTAAAAATGCATTTTCTTGCTTAATGCTCTCATTGGCTCCCCATTGTCCGCTGGATAAAACTGGAACTCCATCACGCTTATAAGGTCCTTCACCACATTGCCCGCACTTAACTCCTTCATATTCTTTGTACCATATAGTGTCTTTTTCATATTGGTATATGTGTTAACGATGCCTGCTGAGCACTTACTATGCATGTCCAAAGAAGGTACAGTGGGAAACTCGTTGGATACATAGTTTGGCAACAGAGAGCGAATTATATATTAAACATTGTGATGTTAAATTCCAGGAAGGGAATGAGACCACAGAGAGGATTAGAAGCATTAGGGAAGGGTCCCGTGGAAGAGGTGAGGTGTAAGGGGGGTAGGGAAGGGGATTTGGACCAGCAGAAGAAGTTCCAGTCTGAAGGATCGGGGCCATGAGAAGCAGGCTCCTAATAAAAGTGGAAGGTCATACTCTGGACACTGAAGTAGACATCAGTCCAGACTCATTGTCCTGTGCCGGCCTAAGAGGAAAAATGCCAGATACTCTTTAGGGTGCTTGAAGCACACAACACGAAGAGATGGCCAGCAGCAGAGATAGAAGCCAAATAATTTGGACATGAAGCCTGATTTCTCTCCCAGGCTGTCCTGCTGGTTTCGAACATGTACCCTGACCCACCCCACTTAACTCTCCATCTCCTCCCCACCTCCCCCCGCAAAGTGACTGTTTTTCTCAAGCTGATGTTGTTTAAGGAAAAGGGAAGGGGGATACTGTCAGGGAAACTGAGGCTTGGAATGAAATGTCATAGAGAAACTGTGACTCTGTCTCCTGTTCAGTGGGCTGCACTCTGCATGCCAACCTGAAAGGGATGAGGTAGCTTTTACGGCGGCAGTTATGGCTTATGAGGTGTCGTGTGAAAAAGGACCCTTCTCACGGTGATGAAGATCCTATGTTTGCTCTATTTAGACAAAGAATTCTCTTTTCAGCATAACTTTCCACACCGAAACACAAATTGTTTAGAGCTGACTGACTGCAATACTAAGTGTTCTACTTTAAAACTATTCCCACAAGTGAATCATATACGCGCATCTTCTCTCTTTCGTCCCCCTCCTCCATATAAACACATTCACGCCCTTCCTCACCGCCATAAATAATGCTCCTTTTGCTTGCCTCCCGCAGGACTTTGCATCGTGGAAAATTAGGCTGCTCTAGGACTTGATAGCCTGACCCACTCTTATCTCTCTTAAAGAGGGTTCATTCATTTTGTCAGTTTTCCAGGCCTTCCAATTCCGATTTTATTTTTGTAGTTGACTCTATTTGACTATTTTCTGAGGTTCTGGGGTGAGGCAGGGGCATCCTAACCGTGGAGAATATTGCTGGTTGCCTACTGAAGAGTAATCCTTCATTCCTTGCTAACAGAACCCTGATTTGGGTTCTAGAATTAGGTAGCAGTCTGCTCAGGGAGGTTGACCCAGTTCCAGAGGGTCTGAATCCATTTTGGAGATCCCATTTCCCCTTTGCCAGTGACTCACTTCTGGCCAATGTGACACAAGAAGGAAATCTGCCGGCATCTTTGCCTACTTCTGGTCATCTCACTATGTGAATTAATGAAACCTTATTGTTCAAATCACTTTTAGAAGAAGGAAATCTGCCGGCATCTTTGCCTACTTCTGGTCATCTCACTATGTGAATTAATGAAACCTTATTGTTCAAATCACTTTTAGTTAAGTGTCTTACTACTTGCAGTCAAAACCATCCTCTCTGATACACTAACCAATTCTAAAACTCTCAACTTCTACTGTGATTCATTTGAAAAGATAAATCATCTACTTCATCAGAGTCATAGATTCATGGAATGTTAGTTTGAAAGTCCGTTTGACGACTGTCTAGTCTGTTTGCCTCACTGAACATACCAACTGCTTGTGTCTGCAAACTAAGAAACTCATCCACAAGGTGCTGGGACTGTGCTCTATGCTCTGTAATCTCTACATGTCTAATCCTGATTTTGCATAATTCTGGTAAAATCAGAATTTTGAACTCAGACGGGAAGTACACTGAATTTTCCCTTTTATTCTCATTGGCAAAAGGCTCTCCTAAATACATGTAAAATAGATCTCAGAGGGAATGTTGCTTTTACTTCAAAAAAAAAAAAACCCCACAAAAAACCGCCCTAGAAATAGCTATTTACATAGACATGAATGATAAGTCATGCTCATATATCCATTAAAAAAGATTTCCAGACTTTAGTAGTCAGTACTTTTCCAAATGTGAGTTATTGTATTATTCAAAAATAATAAAATTACATATCTTGGACCATGGTCAATAAGTGAAATTGGCCTTACCCTCTAATTGATTCAAATTTGAGAGACTTTAATGTTCACGCCAACATTCCACCCAGTGGTACTCCCATCCTAGTTTACTCTTTTCTCTCAACTGAGTTTTTCTGAGGAGGAAAAAAGTAACTTACATAAAGAGAAACTTCTGCTATCTGGTGTTATAATGGATACACCAGGCTTCCTTTCTACCTAATTTCTGTATGAGAAAATTGTTATCCGTTTCCATGATGCCAAATGGTGATAGCGCTTGAAAACCATTGGTGCCTACCTGAGTGATGTCCATTCCCGAGTCACAGCTCAGTGGCTGTGTGGAAGTCAGACCGTTTGAGCCGATTACAGTTGTGATCACACCATTCTCATCAATTCTCCGAATCATAGTCCCATCCACAAAGTAAATGAATCCATGCCTATCAACTGTGATGCCTGTTGGGGAAGAGCAATTGAGCATTAGTAGTCTAGAGGGCCACATTTGCGCCAAGATCAGTATTTTGAAAGAAGCCATAGAAATGAAAAGGCATTTTAAAGACATATGGATTCAATTTTGCTCAGCACAGACAGAACAGTAACGGGAGAGGTTTGTTTGGACACACATTCACTCCTCTGTGTATTGAGAAGAAACGACAAAATGTAGTATGTGGAGAGAAAGCCAGTCTAACAATTTTGTTGTCCAGTTTTACATTTCCACCCCCTGGATACTTGCTTACTCCCACAAAAAAAAAAAAAAAAAAAAAAAATCCTCTAAGACAAATGGGAAAAGACAGGGGAGGCAGTGTATGTTACATTTCTTTTAGAGTGCAGATGCACAGGCCGCTGCTTGTTTTCATAGTTGCATTAGAAATAACTGACTTGGAAAGCATTAAAATTATTTTCATCAATTCACTCTCAGTTAACAGAGTCTGTAATAATTCTGATAAACTGGACTGAGTTTTTTCTCTGTATTATCTGTTAAGAGGGCAGCTGGAGAGCAAAATTATGGTGTCACAAAAGGAATGGTTAAGCTTCTAGAAAAAATACAAGTCAATAAAATTCTCACAGTAGTTTTACACACTGTGCTAATTACAGTCTTGTTTCTTGGAAAATATATAAACGCAGTTAGAAGGCTGGGGTTCTAATACTGAATGCACCACTTACAACTGATGTGTGACTTTGAGTCATTCAGCCTCCTCTTTGGTAAAATATGGAAAAGATTATCTGCCTGTGATATTGTGATTTATAATAAAGAATTTTGGTCTCCGTTCCCTTTTCTAACACAGAGCTCCTAAAACTCTTGGGATTGCCTGTGGTGAGAGAGATAAAGGTGACTTTTGTTATGTTAATGAGGTGACTTTGGCTGCACTTTGGCCGAAAGAATAGGCTGGTTGCCAGGAGAACCAACCTGGTGATTAGAGGATTGGAACTTTCAGTCCCACCTCCTGACCTGGGCTGGAGATTGAGTTCAAAGGCCAATGGCCAATGATTTAATCAATTATGATTATGAGGCCTCCACTGAAAACCCAGAAGGACAGGCTTTGGAGAGCTTCCATGTTGGTGAACACAGGGCGATTTGGGGAGAATGGTGCACCTGGAGAGGGCCTGGAAGCTTCCTCTCCTTTTCCCCATACCTTGCCCCATGCATCTCTTCCATCTGGCTCTTCCTGAGTTACATCCTTTTTATAATAAACCAGTTATCTAGTGAGTAAACTGTTTCTCTGAGTTAGCTGAGCTGCTCTACCAAAATAATGGAACCCAAGAAGGGAGTTGTTGGAACCTCCTATCTACAGCAGTTCTGTCCGAAACACAGGTGACAACCTGGACTTGTGATTGGCATGTGAAGTGGTGTTGGGGGAAGGCAGTCTTGCAGGACTCACCCCTTAACCTGTGGGATCTGATACTATTTACGGGTAGATCGCGTCAGAATTAAGTGAAATCGTAGGACACTCAACTGGTGTAGAATTGCTTGGTGGTGTTGTTGGTGGTTCTCCCCATGCTGGAAATTGGTCTCAGAATACCTTTTATTGCTTTACGTGGCTAAAGTGACCAACTGTCCTGGCTTGCATGGGACTGAGGCAGGGTTCAGTTTTAAACCGGCGACAGTCCTGGACAAACTAGGATGAGTTGGTTATTCTATGCCTAGGTTGTAGTAAGTATCTGATGAAATAATGCATTTAAAAAGTGTCAGACACTGATAAAGAACATATGGTTCAACTCCTGCTTCCCTTGCTACTTTGAAAATAACCACATGGCATTACTTTAAAATTAGTTTACAATTTAGTCTTTTCCTAGTTCTCCTTTATTCAGACCTTGTGAAACTCACAATGTATGTTAAAGTTAGGAAGATCTGTGATAACCAGCATGTCCTCTTAGGGCTCATGCGTGCACCCACACACACACGCACACGCACAATAATTTTCCTGGCAAAGAGTGAACTCATCTAAAGACAGTTTATAAACCCAACTTAATAAACTGCCTTTAGATGAGTTAGTTCATTGGCAGGAGGTTAATATTAAGGCTCGACTTTATGATGTACTTTGATTAATCCTGATGTTCCTCATGAAGTATTAATCCTTAACATCTATGAAAGTTACAGATTCATTTTTTAAAAATAAATTTATTTTATTTATTTTTGGCTGCATTGGGTCTTTGTTGTGGTGCGTGGGCTTCTCATTGCGGTGGCTTCTCTTGTTGCAGAGCACAGGTTCTAGGTGCGCCAGCTTCAGCAGTTGCAGCACGCGGGCTCAGTAGTTGTGGCTCGCCAGCTCTAGAGCACAGGCTCAGTAGTTGTGGCGCACTGGCTTAGTTGCTCCGCGGCATATGGGATCTTCTGGGACCAGGGCTCGAACCCTTGTCCCCTGCATTGGCAGGCGGATTCTCAACCACTGTACCACCAGGGAAGCCCCAGATTCATCTTAACTTTCCCTGAATGCCTCTAAAGTCATCTACGTTTTGGTGAGTTCTCCAAGGAAACCAGCGTGTCCAAACAAGGGCAATTCCATGTCAGTAAGTGCCTTTATTATTTTGGGTGGCATAAAGACCTTAAAGAAGGTTTTTAAAAAGACTTTCAAGACCACGGCAGGTCAAAGGATGATGGCATAGGAACATTTCTTTCATCTCCAGAATATCTGGACTGAAGATGAATCAAGGGGTATTTCTGCTTTCTATTTTTCTTTGTGTTTTGGCGAAATCAATTTCTTAAATGCCTAGAATTTGGTCTGGTGTGTGGCAGGCCTATGATTTGGGGTCACCTTCTATGACCTCTGTATTCAATATCACTGAATGTGAACTTGGAAATCTGGCTGTCATAAGGGGATGAACTGAAAGATCAAGACTCAAATCTGGAGAGAGAAAGGCTAAGAGCAGACAGGCTTGAAGTGTATAAAATCATGAATTATCTACCAAACGCATACTGAATGGCACTGTGCCAAGTTCTGTGCGCGCTAAAGGACGAAGAATTCAGGTACATGGAAAGCAAGACTAAGAGGATACTGTGAAGGTGCTGCTCTAACTGGGAGATGATAAACTTAGAGAATCAAATCCCTGAAAATTGAAACAGATTCCCAAAAGGTAAAGACAAATGTATTCCTCCAGAAACTAGCAGTACAGAAACATACATCTTTATGCTGACATCAGGGAGGACCATTCTGTTCCTTGACTACTACACTCCTCACCCCCGCCAGAGGGTGGAGTTTGGCCTGAGCTGGGGAGGATAATCTTGGACTTTCATGGTTTTCCCACTTTTAATTTTCGTGAACTTCTAAACACTGAACTGCTCTCTCTCTGTTCCTGTCAGCTGAACTCCACAGATGAGGCTTATTAAATCCTCGCTGTTGGCCTTCGGGGCTCATTTGGCTGACAGTTTGTAGGATATTCTCCTTTCATATATTTGTGTAGCAATTTCTTTTATCGCGGTCCAAATTCCAAAATACTCCAATTTTTGAGATTCTTTAATTAAATTTAATTGGGTTATACTGATGTTCGGAGTTGAAAAAGAAATAGTAGAAAGGGCTTTGAGGGACTGTGTGATAGGTGCTTTATTTATGCATCTAGGCATATTTTCTATGTACATATTTTCATTTCCTCTCATTTTCCTACCCCAACCAATGAACCAACCAAACAACCAACACACAGACAAATTCCCCAAACAACTAGTTTTACAAACTCTTTGCTGGTGAGGTTTAAAGGGTATTTAATTTTCACTGAGGTTAAAAACCAAACTGGAAATCACGGGTAAGAAAAAGAGAATTATTTCTGCTATTATTTGGCTGGGGAGCGGGAGGGGGTGTGGTCATCTCCCATAATGAGTATCGGTATAGCCCGGGGATGTTGATGACGCAGTATGATCTATTACTGTTTGTTAGACTGAGTGGGAGGAGGTAGCACATGCCCAGTCTATTTTAAATTTTAGTCTTCAGAGATGGGGACGTGAGTGATTTCAGAGCACATAAAGCCATCTGGGGCTAGCAAGATCTTACAGATTCAATAAGACGTTCATATTTTGATATAGTTGTACCCAGATTTCCAAAATTTGTTACCCAATGCTGTGGGCATAATTTGTTCCAAGGGTCACGTCCCTTGATGTGCTTACTTGACAGGGTTTTCATTAGCACTTAAAACACAATGGAAGGCACAGTCTTTGAATGAGAAAGGAATTAAACTGCATTGAAAAGACTCACTTCCAGGGTTTAAAATTTTAACCAGTATTCATTTTTAGAGCAAGCAAAAAATATATAGCTCTGTGCGATTACCACAAGGTTAGGCAGTGATGCGGGGTGGGTGGGATAGGGGTGGGACGAACCACCAAGGAATACACTTCCCTCAGATGCCCAGACAGCATGTTTAGCTTGGAGCACATTTTTACATTTGTGAGAAAATAAATAAATCCTTGTAAATTAGTGCATATAATGAAAGCACTGACAGACCATAACCTGGAAGTGTGAATGGTGCTGTCTCCATTCATCAGCATTAAGCCCTAACAAGCTCTTTCTATGGAGGAAACTGCTCATAAATAAAGTGCATCTTGTAAAAAAAAAAATTATTCGCAGTGTCTTATGCAAAGTAGGGGACATTATATAATATCTGAACTGCAGGCTCTTTTCTCTGTGAAGCATAGCTCTGTATGAAACAGCTGCAAATTAACGGGCGAAAGTATTTGACTTCTACCCTTGTCTTATTATCCTCTAATGAATAAATACTATAATTCTTAAGAAGACAATTGCCTAAAGCTGGGGCAGCCTGGATAGTTACTAATAAATTTATCACCTGTTGGGGAAGAGGATGCTGCTGATCGATACTGAAGCAGCAGGGGCAACCTGATGTGGTATCACTGAGAGTCCAGATGTGGAGGTTAACAGCCTGGAAATAGTAGCTAAAATCCCAAATTAGATAACAGAGAAGATCAGAGTTTTTGGCTGTGCAGAATGCCAATTTCAAATGTTGGCAGAAGGCAT